TTACAGTGCCGACGTAAGTTTTACACTTTTTTATTATTAAACTTACAATTGACACGTGTAAAATTTTTTTATATTTTTCGGATGAAGTGTTAAGCGTGATGATTGGGAGAATCTACTCGTCTTAATATCGAAACAGAGAACTTTGACATAGATATTGCTGCTTTCCAGTGGAGCGGTAAACAACGAAGAGAACAAAAAAATAGATATTTACCTCATCCCAGGAATATATTTATGTCACTCACTTGATCTTTATGATATAGCTGATGATAAAAACTTTCCTGGCACAACAGATGCAATTATGGCAGGCAGGCACTCTATTTCTACCAGGATCCCAGAACATCATATCCGAATTGTTTTGAGTTAGTATTAAAGAAGAACATTATATAGGAAGATATATATCAAGCTATGGCAAAATTAACTACGGCAGATTTAAAACCTAAATATACTGTGTTGACAGTATTAATTAATTTGGCAGACGATTGGCAGATTTTCTGGTTTGAAGGAAGAAATATCATGACACTCACCCTTCCCAGAGACAAAAGCTATACAAAAAATATGGAGTTTGCTTCTTAATCCGCAAGTCCTAAAGTAGATGAACCGCTACCAAAATGTCGGAAATTTAAACAATATTGTTTACATAAGTTCTGGTGTATGTAGTTCCTATGGAAGATTTTTTGATACTATGACCGAAGAAAATTAAATATAAAGCAAAACATGTCTTAACTCAATTTTTTAGCCAATCGATATTTAACGAATGGAACAATCATCATATAACATCATCACCTTTGAAGTTAGGGATGGCTGATACTGAAAAGGAATAGGGTATGTTAATTAGAATTAATAATCATGTAATTGATTACTTTTCCCAAACTTTGTAATTTTTTCATTGCTAATTTTAATAATAAGGTCAAATTCTTTGCGTCTGCATTAATTTTTTCACATGAAGGTCATGCTCGTGGTAATTCGTTATTCTGCTAATCGGATTTGCCTTTCAGCTGAAATACTCAGAGTCGGCGGAGATCTTGATTTCATTACTAATTTTTGCAAAGGGATAACCATAAGACCTCTATTGTAACCATTTCTACATTTTTCTTACGGGATCTAAATTCGAAACAATTATACCGGAGTGGAATCGGAATTCGTCCATGTCCATCTCCAGTTACAACTAAATATGAATCCTCGATTAATCGCAACTAGTTACAACTAGTTGCGACATATAAAAATTGAATTGCGGCTTCCTTCTCTGGTTACCTCCAAAAAAAATTTTTTTTTTAATACTTGGTGACTTTAACGATAATATAAACATCATCTCAAAGTAAATCATTTATTGACATCAGATTCAGTTGTAACAAAAATAACACCATTAAAATATGGTTCTTCGATTTATTATTATGAATAAGTGAAATATTTTGTGACAATGATGAAAGCAAAAAAAAAAGACATTTATCTGAATATATATGGTAGAATAACTGTTGTACGTGAATTTGAATTTTAAATTCACGCGCGTGAAATTCAAATTAGCCAATCAGAATTTTGTATCCAAACACCCACCCCAAAATTCACGACTCACATACCAGTGTTGTGACCAGAAACTCTTTTGGCTTCCCGAAACGTTTCGGAAAATGAACTTACACTAAGCAGAAAACTAAACCTAAACCTAAACATAAACATAAACTACCAACCTAAACTAGTTTTGGGTGGTTTCTGTTAGTTTCTGTTTCTGGTTTTCCCTAAACTCAGAGTTTCGGGTCACAACACTGTCACATACAACATGAAAAATGATGAAGGGAATGAGTTATAGTTACAATGAGAAAAGAAGAAGAAAAGAAAATGAACCTGGAAGTAAAAATTTTTACAACAAATAGAGATGTGAATTTCTGAACTGGGAATTTCATTCAGTACGGTAAGTTTAACATTACAACAGTATTATATAGCATCAACGTCATATAATACACAATTAATTATGAAATAGTTGTTGAATGGATAAAAACTGACGATATAATATTTACCAGCATGTAGGATAACTGTACTACAACTGGTGGAATTATTAGAGAAACATCAACGACTAGTAGTATTGCAGCAATTAGAATCTAACCCTTTGATAACACTCAGATTTTGTATAAATTAGTTATGCAAACAAGAATAAATTTATTATTTGAATTAATAATTAATTAATGATTAATAAATGCAACAAGTAATTTAGATTAATAATAATTATAAAGTTATAATTGAAAAATAAAATGAATAATCATCAAATATCATTATATTTATCTAATTTCAAATTGTCTAAATGTTCATTTGTATCTTGTAATTTATATTTAAAAAACTCCAAATGTAAATTATGAAGTCGTTCTTGTTTTAATTTCAACCATTCCTCCCTCCTACTACTAATACTATTTTTATCATCATAATCGTCTGCCACTGCTAAATTAGACCATTCATTATAAGCCGATTCCACTTCTTTAGCCCAATAAAGTTTTTTAAATTTGCTATTGCCAACTAGCGCTGGATGATTGATTGCGATAAGACATTCAAAAATTTCTTTTGGATAAGAAAAAGATGAATATGAAATATTAAAGGTATTATTGGTGACAATATCAAGCAAAGAAGTATTAGATGAGCGAGTGTTATTATATGAGTAAGTATTATCAAGTAAGAAAGTATTATTAGATGAGCGAGTGTTATTATATGAAGAAATATTATCATCACTATGATGATTAATAATATTAATATGATTGCCTATTTCATTAATATCGTTGTTAATATCGTTAATAATATTGTTAATATAACTGATAATATTAGGAACATTATCATTGTTATATAGATTTAGATCTTCTTCTTTATCATCTTCTGGATTACTTTATTTTCAAAAAAAAAAAAAAAAAAAAATAAATAAAAAAAAAAAAAAAAAAAAAAATTTAATTAAAAAAAAATTTTTTTTTTTTAATCAAAAAAAAAAAAATAAAAAAATTAATATATATATTTTATATATATAGACTGTTCATGAATTAATATTATTTGATTATTATTATTGTTACATTTTGTGTGAACCTCCTCCAATAACCTGTACTGGAGAAATGGATGCAACGGTATTGTTAACTTGAAGGCCACAACATCCACCAATATTTAATGTAGTGGTTGGTTCTCCTGAATAAGTGAAACCAACAAAGGTGTCATTTAATTCACTGGCTATAGAAGCATTTGTACCATTTCTACTTATGTTCTTGGTTAGAGATGGCCAATAATCAATTTGTTCTTCTGTGAATGCAGGATCAAAGCATGAAGTATCATCTTCTGAGGTGACATTTGGTTTAAATGGTGGTGGTACTTGTTTATTATATAATGCATTCCAATCTACATTGGCGAAAAATGGATGACGTTTCAAGTCTTCTGCATCACCGTTTGATCCGAGTCTGTTGTGAGGATTACGTGCAAGGAGGCCTTTGATTAAACTTTTGGCATCATCACTGAAAAAACCTTTTGGAAATTTGAGTTTACCAAACAATATTCTACGATACATTAATTGGGTGTCATTGGTGTAGAAAGGACTGAAGCCGGCAATCATCTCATAGAACAATATTCCTAAGCTCCACCAGTCAACAGATTTACCATAACCGCATTCAGCTAATACTTCAGGAGCAAGATATTCTGATGTGCCACAAAATGTATTTGTTGTTTGTCCAGTAGCTAAATTTTCTTTACAAAGACCAAAATCACAAAGAGCTATATGACCAGTAGCATCAAGTAGTATATTTTCTGGTTTAAGATCTCTGCAAGAATAAAAATATAAATATTAATTATTTGTTTTTTTTTTTAAATATATATATATATATTATAGATGTGTATCAAAAATAAATATGTACCTATAGACGATGTTATATTTATGTAAATGTTCTAAAGCCAAAACAATTTCAGCAGCATAGAATTTAGCCCTTTCTTCACTGAGTCTTACTTCATTTTGTAAATGCCAAAACAATTCACCACCGTTCATGAAATCAGTGACCAAGTAGAGATGAGTACGAGTTTGGAAAGAAAATTTCAAACCAACCAAGAATGGACAAGATTCGGCTCTGATAAGAATATTTTTTTCAGCTAATGTGTGTTCAACTTCTCTACGCTCGATCAAATCTTGTTTGTGAAGAACTTTCATTGCATAAATACGATTTGTGTCTTTTTTACGAACTTGAAATACTTTTCCAAAGTTTCCTTTGCCAATCAATTTAAGAATTTCAAAAGATCCTGGTTTAAGATTTGATTTCTAAAAGATGATGATGGATAAGAATGAGTATACTTTGCGAAAAGAAAACTCGAATTATAATCATGATTATGATTATGATGTATATTTACCTCTGATTCATAAGTGATCTGAACATGCAATTCACCGGTAACTGATTCTTTACCTCTTGGAGATAATCTTTTTAAAAAATAAAATAATTAAATAATTAATATAATGATTTTTTTTATTTTTATATCATGCGACGACAATGATGATGATGATGCTTACTTGAACCAACCGTCAATTGGCTGATTTGGTTTTTTTGGAGGTTGAATTTTTAATGTTCCAAGGAAAACTTCAGTTTGAGCATTATCCAAATGATGAACACGTTCATAAACAGAAACTTGAAGTTCGCTATCAAGACGCGCGACATCAAAGGTAACTTTTTGTTTCCATATTGGACATCTAGCAGCACGAACCAAATCCAAGAAATCTACGGGTTTTCCACCACGTTGAATTGGAAGGTCACTATCTCTAATTGCTTCACGAGTTACAAATTGATCACGATCGAATTCAACCACGCAATAAGGTCTGGATTGAAAATTACTAACGTTGAGTTTACGACCTTCAACAATGTTTACATTAAGTCTACCAGTCAAAGATTTTTGTTCGACGTTGTCAAAAGCAGTTGAGAGTTTAGCTGAATTGTTGTGTTTTGATGATTTTGATGATTTTTTGTTTGAAGTAGGGGTAGAATTGTTGGCGGGGAGTTCGAAAAGTTGTTTTTTGGCATTGATTGAATCTGTGGAAGAATTGGAAGAATCAGAATCGGGTGAACAAGACAAAGGTGTCAAGTACATTTTTTGTTTAGGATTACTCCAATCAGCAATTTTTTTGGTAAAGTAAGACATATTTTTTGATCTTTTTAAACTGGTGAAAGTTTTTCGATAACAATAATATTAATGGATTTTTACTTTTTCTAAATAAAATTAATTATATTCTTCGTTAAAAAAAATTAGATTTTCGTTATAATTTTTGTTGTTGTTTTTTTCGTTATTAAATAATTGATTTTTGACTTTTTTTAAAAATTTTGTTTTTAAAGAAAAATTAATTAAATATTTAAACAAGTGTAAGAGTATATATATATAATATATATATAATAATTTTTTGTTTTGTTGAATCCTTGTTGGAGTGATTTGACAACGATTGAGAAAGTTGTCGTATTTAAAGTTTTTTTTTTTATTTATTTTTCGTTTTAATTTATATGAATTATTATAAAAAATAATTTATTATATATATGGCGTATAAATCTACAATATATTTTTTATAATATATATGTATATAAAATATATAAA